AGTATAGCTCTCAGCATCTGAATGTAGGTTCAATTAAGCTAAAAATGGTGTTATGTTAGTTTTAAATCTATCAGCACTGTTAGTTGGAAGAGCATCTCCTTACTACTACCACTACTCCTCCTCCTTGATGCCCCCACACCACTCTCTCTTCCTGATCTCCCCCACCATCTGAATATGTGGTGGACATTTTCCCTGCCATAAAAGTAGAGACAAACCTCTTACTTTCACCAATATCCATCAAAAATTTCTGCCTGCTCATCAGACCAGATAACATTCAGGCCAGAAGAATAAAATAAAATTATTTCACAAAAATACCTTTATTATCCTAAACTTTGCATTTTAAAGTCACAAGGTCAGTATTTGTACTTACACTCTTGCATGTATTGATTCTATTAAAGCATATTCAAATTGTGACAATGAATTAAGTGAAGTAGCCTTTCCACATCTGTTCCATTTATTCTTTCTCCTTTGACAGTTTAATTATTTAGATAATTTTTCTCTTTGGCATAGGTTAGATATAATCACTTAATCTTTTCCTGTTAATGTACCTATTGGTGTATTATTTTTTTAATTTTTTTTTTTTTTTATCTACTTTAGATACTTCTATAGGTCTCCAGAGAAGTTTAACTATATGTAGCTGTGTAGACTTTAGCAACAATATTTATATAGATCTTAGAGGTAGCACTATTCTATGCTTATGGATAATTTGAGGATTTGGCATAACAATAGTATATAAATCATTTTCGAAATGTTAAATGTCTATAAATGATACAGACTTTATAAATGTTTTATGTAATAATTTTAAAAATAATTTTAATTATAAAAAAACTAGTTACCTGTTAGTGTGTAGATCTTGGAATAGGTTAGATAATATTCATTTACTTTTTACCTGCCATCATCTAAGACTTGAGAATAGTAATATAAAATTTGACACTGTATTTTAGCTCTAATAAACTTTAAGTAATTTTTATATCATTGACATGTATATTATACTCTGACATAAAACCCAGAAAAGTTGACTGATATTCACTATGTAGATGACCTATCTATTACTGTAGACACCATTACTAATGCCACAGGTCTCCCGTATCATCTAGAAAATGCTGCTAACAATGCTGGACTCTGTCAATGCCTCTAAAACTGAATTGTAAGCTTCAACCAGCAAGGCTCAATTTACAAATTGTTTCAAGTGAATCAATAAAATCTGTTGACTCTTTACATACCGAGGAAGCAAAAATAAATTTGACTGAAAAGGATGTGAAATTTTGCATAGCTAAAGCTTGGGCTACATTGAATAAAATTAATGTAATCTGGATTCTCAGACAACCTCAAACAGCTTCTTTATCATCATTGTGATTCCATGTATGGTGCCACTACTTGGACATTAACTATAATCTTTGAATTTAAGCTTAATGGATTCTACATTCAGATCCTGACATCTATACTTAACATTTTTGGAGACAACATCACAGCTCTATGGACCCATCTCTGATATTTCTACAATCTAAAGTGAACACAGAATGTGCCTTGCAGGACACTGCTGGCAAGCAAAACAAGAACTTGCGAGTGATCTGCTGCTCTGGACACCTAGTCATAACGCATGACAGGTTGGTTGCCCAGCAACCACCTACATTGACCATCTATATATAGACGGAGGATGCCACCATAATGACCTTCCAACCTTGATGTAGAACTGATGATTGGCCTGATAGACTTATGACTGTCCGAGCTAGCTCAACTGGAAAAAAAAAAGAAGTCATTGACAAATATAAAATCAGCAGACTTTTGTTCTGAATATAAAAATAGAAAATAAAGTGAAAACAATTAAGTGCCTGAATATATGACTATATTTAGAAACTGCTTTTGAATTATATTTAACATTATTTTTCTCTTGCTTTTATAAAACCTTTATAAAAACATTTTTAAACTTCCTTGCTATGACTTGTTGATGTTAGAGTTGATTTTTTGGCTTATTTTTTCAAGGCTTGCTGCTAGTTTGGTATTATGTAAATATTTATTTTTCTAGATCTGTGTTGTAATAATATCAATACTTTTCCAAAAGTTTAACAGTTTGAACCATTTTAATAGTGCTCAGCTGAATTTGTTCTCTTTAAGATTTCATCTCGTGAACCAGAAAACAGTTTTATTAATAAAAGAAAGAAAAAGTTCTCTATATTTTGATATTCTCAATTCACATCCATATGAATTTCCAGATCCTCATAAGATAACTTAATAGGGGGCTAATTTTTTTTTTTTTTTTACTTAGTCCAAAGATTTTTCTTGTATCTTTTTACAAAAATTATCCCAATTCCAGTTAGGAAAAGCAAGTATAAAAAAAGACTGCCAAACACTTTGGAAATTCTTCTTTTTTTTTTTTTTAATACCACTTCCCTTCAGAAGTTAGCTCATTATGGCTCTTGATAGAGATTCTTTTTATTATCTGTAAATTGTCAGGATTTCTTAGGATAGTAGTTATTTCCTATTGCCTTCTCCATGATTTTGAATTCAAAGTTGTCCTTTTCCTCAATGAGCTACCACCCAAGAATATAACCCAATCTACCCTGTTATTTAACCCATAGTTGGAGTAAGAAGACTTAAAGTATTATTTAATATTGGTACTAGGTGAAGATTGGAACTTGGTTTGCTGATTCCACTTTCAGTAGGCTTATGGCCACATCATGTTGAAACACCAATCCCTGCATGATCACTGAAGTTAAGCAACATCGAATATGGTCAGTGACTGCTTGTGAATACCAGGTGCTGTAAACTTGGATGTGCAGATAATGTAATAGATAATGACTTGGAATTGTTAATCAGAGAGGCAAGTTCCAAATACCATTGAGTTCATTATATTCACTCACATGCAAATATCTTTGGGAAAGATATAAATCCATCTCTTCTCTCCACAGCTATGGGTCAATTAGTAAGAATTGTATGACTAAACCATTATTATCTCAAAAAAAAAAATTCTTACAATCTAAAAATATTTTCTGTTTTAAATAAGCTTCATGGTGTTGATAAACTATAGAGGAAAAACAAATCCACTTTCAGTATCAGTGACTGTCAGTCTACCTATATATTACCGGAATAGTTAACTGGTGATTATGATGTAAAATTTCTTGGTGTATATTTGGTAAGTCCCTTATTGTTAAAGAAAAATAGTTTGAATTTGGCAAGTACTACATTTATTTTTATGATTTTTACTTTTACTCAATTAATTTGCCAATTTATCTATTTTTATGTTTATTTTCTCTACTCCAAGCCTAAAAATAGCAACAATTATTTTAAATACCTTAAAAATTTGAAACCAAATTACAAAATTTGTTTTTTTTTTCTTTTCCTTTTAAAAGAAACTAATTTTCTTAATAGTTTTGATAGTTGGTTGGTAGCACTTATTAACTATAATTCTTTTGAAGAAAATCAATAAGCTTATGAGTCAGGATTATTTATATTCTCTAGATCCCAAACAAATATCTTTGATTCTAAGGTGATAAAAAAACTGAGGATTGAAACTTTCTGTTTAAACATTATGAATATCAGTTATATATTCTGGTTAATTTGGACATTGAAATGCTTTTATGTACGCCATGTGTACCTGAAGCTCTTTTCACTTCTTATTATAATGTCTACTTGGCAGTAGTCAATGCTAAGACTCTTGTAAGAATGATAAATGACTCAGAAAGGAGATAATTACAAATTCTCAAGCTAAAATTCATAATAACCATCTGTTGGTTCCAATCTGTATTGGAATGACTGTAAAAATATCCCCCTCTCCAAATTTATAGACAAATTGCAGTAAATGCATGCTGTGATTTCTTCCTAGCCATTGATAGACCACTTCTTGGTCTCTTCTGACATATTTCTGTTCTTTCTTTTCTGGAAGTCAAATGCTGCAATGACTTGTCTGTATCCCTTTTGTGCGCTAATAACATTCTTAGTTTGTGAACTTTTTTTTTTTTTTATCTCATTACTGCTGCTTTGCCTACTTTTGTCTTGCATATATTGTTTGCTTAGTATTATTTTTACCCTGTTCTTTTCTTTCTCTTGTTATTGTTTATTGCAAACTTTGTTAATTCTGTTTGTTGGGCATTTGTGTCAATTACATTTAACCATCATAATTAGTCAAGAAGTTAGTGGAAATGATTTTAGATATTGTATGATCTTGGAAGTCTATTTCTTTGGCAAAGTGTGTGTGTGTGTATGTGTGTGTGCATGCACACAGTACAAAATCCTAGATAAACATTTGTATATACAAGTACAAGATATTTATTCTTTATAGCAATATGAATATTTAAATTCCATTTCTCAAAGCAAAGGGGCTTTTTCAAAAACATTCTTTACAAGATAAAATATAATAGTGGAATAGAATGTAAGGATTATATAGAAGGTATATGTTATAGCATAAAATATGAAATTTGTACAATGGATGACACAATAAGCACCATTTTGGTTTTTACAAGTTGGCTGATAAGTCTGAATAGAGATGGGAAAAGTGTTTCCTAAGTGAAAAACCTAAATATGTAGGGGGTGCTGAAAAGTTCTCATAACAAACCACTTCTGACTAAATGAAACCCTTGTATGCAAAATAAAACAAAAACATTTGTAACATTATTAGAATAGCAGTTGATTTTTTTTTCTTGTCGCTCAAAATGTATGATGCCTGGCCCTTCACTAAAGACATAAGTATAGAAAAGTGTTGAGTCTTTTCAGAGTTTAAAAGTAGAAATTATAACTTGGTGGATTTCTGAAGTGAACTGCTTTCATTGGCTTATTTTGATGGTAAACTATTTCATGATATAGAAAGATAAAATAACTTATAACCTCAAAGTATGAATATTGTTCCATACTGATTCAATTCTAATGAGATAAAAAAAAGCACATGTGATCATGTAGTGTTGATTTTGAGACTTGATGCTATTGTTCCTATTAAAAAGATGAGTTTAATTTGATCAAGTGGGATTTAATGCATAGATTTTCTCTCCTTTTACTGTGACTTCAGTATGTATGTAATTTTTTTTCTTCATCCTTTTTCTTTTTTCTTTTCTTTATCATTTCCCCTTTTTTTATCATTTCCTCTTTTTCCTTTCCTCCTTTTCCTTTCCTGTTTTTCCTCCTTTTCCTTTCCTCCTTTTCCTCCTTTTCCTTTCCTGTTTTTCCTCCTTTTCCTTTCCTGTTTTTCCTCCTTTTCCTTTCCTCCTTTTTCCTTTCCTCCTTTTCCTTCCTTTCCTCCTTTTCCTTCCTTTCCTCCTTTCCTTCCTTTCCTCTTTTTCTTCCTTTCCTCCTTTCCTTCCTTTCCTCCTTTTTTCCTTTCCTCCTTTTCCTTTCCTCCTTTTCCTTTTTCTTCCTTTTCCTTTTTTTCCTTTCCTCTTTTTTTCCTTTCCTCTTTTTTTCCTTTCCTCTTTTTTTCCTTTCCTCTTTTTTTCCTTTCCTCTTTTTTTCCTTTCCTCTTTTTCTTCCTTTCCTCTTTTTCCTCCTTTCCTCTTTTTCCTCCTTTTCCTTTCCTCTTTCCTTTCCTCTTTTCCTCCTTTCCTCTTTTCCTCCTTTTCCTCTTTCCTCCTTTCTTCTTTTCCTCCTTTTCCTCCTTTCCTCCTTTTTCCTCCTTTTCCTCTTTTCCTCCTTTTTCCTCTTTTCCCCTTTTTCCTCTTTTTCCTCTTTTTCCTTTTTCCTCTTTTTTCCTTTCCTTTCCTTCCTTTCCCCTTTTTCCTCCTTTTCCTTTTTTATTTTCATTTTTCTTTTCTCTTTTTCCTTTCCCCCTTTCTTTTTCCTTTCTCCTCTTCTTTCTTTGCAAATTAAAAAAAAAAAGTTTCAGAATCAGGTTATGATAAATATACTCTGTGAATTTCAGCTTGTAAATATTTCTAAAGCTAGCATTTACATTCATCTCCATAAAAATGTTTGGATTTTTAATATTTTGATTAATAATTGTCTGTTAGGCATTTTTTACTGCACACACTTATAGTAATCTTTGATATAACTTATATGCCTATCTTTTAAATTGAACTTATCACTCTTATTTATAATTTATTATTTAACTTCTCAACCCGGGGTCAAATCAAACTTATAAAAGTTTAGTATGCAGAAACTAAATTCAAACAAGCAATTTTTTTTGTTTTTTATGGGACAACAAAATAAAACTGTTATAATAAGAATGTGCAATTCTACATAAAAGGTTTGGCCTTTTGAACTAAATTTTTATTATAATTTAAGCAATTTGATATAAAGTTTGGAGATTGATTAAACTGTATCAGATTTTATTATGCAAGTCAATATTTTTACAATAAAAATAGTATTAATAAAGTGATATTTGTAAAGATTTTCAGAATCTGCTTATGATAAATATTACTCTGTGAATTTCAGCTTGTAAATATTTCTAAAGCTAACATTTAGTGGTGTGATATTTTATTATGCAACTTGAGAATTTTTCATCATATTGTAAATAAATATGTATAATAGTATAGTTATTGATATTTATTTGTATGATTTCAAATATATAGTTTGCCATGCATCATAGGAAAAATATAACCTCAAAAGAGAATCAATATATTGTAATGTTATTGAGTGATAGGAACATAACATTGATTATTATAAAAAATTTGGACAGATATCCAAAACAATCAACAAAGAAATTGAAAACATTGGCAATATATGGACATAAAAAAAAAAAACTGGCTTTATGAATGTTACATAAAGTGAATTCAGAAAAAGGGTAATAAGGAAGAAAAATGGAGATAATATTTGAAGACACTTGTTAGAAATGTAAACCGAGAGAAAAGATGTAAAATATTTTAAAGAAGCCAAATTACCACCTTTAAGTAAACATCATAAATTGAAACATAAGTTGGGTAAATAATTGCCTGAAAACTGTTTTCTCCAAAGTAATTTTCAATGCCAAATGTAGAGCTACATTGAATGGACTTGATGGCTGAGCTCAAGATTGTTATTTTCATGGAAATAGTCAACCAATTTGACTTAGAAGACAACAGTTGGGAGGTCAAATAATTATAGGACTTTTCAAAGTTTGTGATGGTTAAAGATAAATGCAAAAAATTATTTTAAGTTCTTGGATAAAAGAATTTTTGAATGGTGTGGGTCATAACCATGAAACTAAATGAAACGGCATATGTAAAACACTCACATTCCTCAGAGATGACTTATTACCCACTTTGCCAAAATGGTTTTAAAGATACCAATAGAATGGCTCCTAGCTTCTCCAGAATTCAATAGAAAACTTTTGGTCCATCATTAAGAGATTTATATGAAAATGATAAACAATATTCAAACAAAAGTCTCTGAGAAGTGAAAAATCCATATTAAAGTTGAAATTGTAGAAAAGTTAAGAAAATCAATAGATGAGAGATTGATGAAAGTTAATGAATGACAGGGGTGAGCTTATATAATATACAAAATAAAATAACTTTTTTTTTTTCTTTTTTTTTTTTTCCAAGTATGCATATTGTGAATGAAATATGCTTCTGTAATCTATATCTTTGGACTTATTTTTAAATAAATGTATGTTTCACTTAGTATGCATGCATCATAAAAGCTGACATCCTCCAAACAAATTATAAATACTTAGGATAGGTATAAACTGAAACTCAAGTGTCATATTACACATAAGCATATTTTGAAACTTTTACCAACATCAGTTGATTAATAGCAATTTTATTGTGGACATAGTGACTTGTATAATAAAATATACCATGCATGATTTTATATTATAGCATTTCTTAATTTCTACTCTAACCATTGACAAATTCATTAATCCAGTTAAAAAGATACTCCTGATTGTAATGAGTTTAAATATAGATTTATCAGTTATACTTTCTGGATAAATGATACTTGAAAGACCCAACCAAATAAAAACTCAAACTAGTATTAAAAATGAGTTCTAAAATTAAAGAATTGCCTCGTAAAAGTGAAATTATGTTATAATAAAAAAAATGGAAGAATGTGTAGTAATAATAATAATAATAATAATAAACTTGCTGTGTCATGCAATATTGGCTTTATCATCATCCAGTTTGTGTGATATTACCAGTTTTTTCAGTACTTTCTGACCATTTAGAAAGAATTAAAATTAATACAGAAAACATTTCCTGATAGAAATTTGTTTTAAATGTAAACTATTTACATTCATATAATGTTCCTTTTAATATCCTGATATAAACCGATTATGACAATAGTTTGATGCTACTTTTCTGCATTACTGATTCTGTGTCTGTCAAAACAAATGACTAAATTTATGATTCACAATTTCATTTTCTTATTTGCTTAATTACTATATATTCTACTATTTTTCAATATATTTTTTTCTAATGATTTTTGAATTTAAAAAAAATATTTTAGTTCAAAGTTTTTAAAAACTGAAACCATTTAGGTGAATTGTAAATATTTTAGGTTGAATGAATTTAGAATGAAAACTGAATTCAGATATTCATGATAATATTTTTTGCTATTTTATGATAAAATTACACACTAATTAAAGCTAGTCTCTTCCCATATCCTTGTAACACTTGCTGATGTTGTTTTCCATTGCACTTCAGCATCTAACCTTGTTTCTATTAGCTGCAAATACTGATAATCAAAAATAGGTTATTGTTTGCTCCTATCTATCTATCTATCTATCTATCTATCTATCAATTTCTGTGACTTCTATTAGTCTGTCCATCCATCCATTAAACCCTCTAAAGTAGCCATACATTGACTGATCAAAACCAGATTTTGGAGAGAAGTGCAAACGGTTAAGTGGGTACAAAGTACAGTTGGTTTTACTAGGGTACATAGCTTAGTACAATAAATTTTTATTAACTTTTTTGGAAAAATTAAGTTGTATTATTTAATATACAAAATACTCCCACTATTCTAAAAACAATTTAATGATTAAAATAACAAATACTTATTTAATGAAAATGCAATATTGTTTTTTCATGTCTGTTCTGCTTTTATATTTCATCAAATGAAACATAGAATTTGTAAATATCAACAAAAAATGTTAGCGATAACTTCAACAATACTAAATACTGTGAGGATTTTAGTGCACTAATGTATCTCGCAAAAAATTCTAGTATTTTAAAATCAACAAGGATTTTTTTTTTTTTAGATGGTTTTTGTCTATTTAAAAAATAGTTGGATGTATAATTTGTTAGAAATTTGAGCAATGATTACTTTTTCTATTAAAATCTATTCCTCTGAAAAAAATCAATGTGTTATGTGTATATTAAAACCTATGAAAAAATAAATACTATTTAACAAAACTCATAAAAGTGAATGTACTGATCTCAAAGGTCAGCTTGTTTTCTTAAGAGGTTAAGAAACGTGTTGATGACAATGATGACCCCCACCACTTAGGCCAGAAGGCAGAAGCTGAAACCTAATTATTGTGAACAGTGAGAAAATGTCAGATGTGTATTTCACTGTTCCATCAAATCACTAAGTAAAATTGAAGGAAAATTGGATATGTGGACCTTGTCAGAAAACTGAAGAAATTAGTGAAACTGAATGTGACAGTTTTGTCAGTTGTTGGAGTCCTGGGAGACCATTTATTAAATTCAATCTTTAAGAATGACTGCAAAACATTTACCCCTCCCCATTTTATAGGCAGAAGCACACAAATGCATGCTGGGATTTTTTCCTACCCAATAAAATAGGCTGGTTCTTGGTTTCATCTGATTTAGTCCTGGCTTGTCTTGTCCTGAAGTCAGAATGTTAGGTTCGCTTGTCCAAACTTGCTTTTGTGTGTCAACTCCAAGTTTGTGAGCTTCTTTCCATATTACTGTTGCTTAGCTTTGCCTTTACATTGCTTACTTTATATTAATTTTTGCCCTGTTCTTTTTCTTGTTATTGCAAACTTTGTCAATACTTATTTTGCATTTGACCATGTCTATTCACTCCACACCATTCTTGAAAAGTCTAGTGAAAGAAGAACTGAGAATAAGATAAAGAATTGAGATTATCCAGACAATGGCACTAATGTAAACGGAATACTGAGGAGAGTGTTGGAGTATTGAAGAGACTTGTAGTCATTCGATCTCTAATGTAAACCAACATTTGCTTCTAGTGTGAAAACTTCAGTGGTGGTAATTCTGGTGGTGGTAGTAGTGATGGTAACAAAAATAATTTAAAAAAAAAAGCCAGCTCTGTTGATTCTAATAGCAGTTATACAAATTTAAAGTTGTTTGCATTTTAAGATTGATTTTAATTTTAATCATGAAATATTTTTATTAAATTTAAGCATTTAGAAAACCTATTTTATACAAGTATAATTCAAGAAAAGTCAGTGATTATATTGAGAATTAAAAAGAAAAAAATGTCTTTTTTATCAAATTTACAAATAAAACAGATTTTATCCACTGTGCCTGAGAATGTATCCCTAAAACAGGGTTTGTCAAGTGATTAGACAAAAAAAATGTTTTTATTAACTGCTGCTGAGAAGTTAATTTTTTTCCTTAATAACTTTGAGGCTTTTATTTACTTTTGTTGCTACTTTTGGTAGCATGTGTTAGTAAGATAGAAAGAAAAAAAAATTAAAAAAGGTTTTCATATTTAGTGTAATGCTTTGCAGACCGATTTTTTATGATTGTATTTGGTTTACTTTATAGATTTGTTTTTTTTTATATCTTTCTCTGTGATTTAAGTACATCTCAGGAAATGTTTTCTCCTTGAATGTACAACAGGATGCTAGTTTCTCTGCCTGACCAAGGGGGGAAATGATTTAGAACTATGTAACATACAGTTCTGTATGTTTACTCCCAACATACTTGGCAGATCACCTCTCAAGAAGAAGAAGAAAAAAAAAAAAGAAAACCCTCCCCCAAAAATGTTTTGTCATTGAAATACTGCTCTGCTACAACATTCAAATCATTGGAAAATTTCCTCTTTTAAATTTCTATTAAAGTTTCAAAATGGAACAGAATCTGATGAGTAGAGTAGATTGTCTAAGTACTCTGACTCCCAAATTCTTTGAAATATCCATTTTCCCAATCCTGTGGGCAGCTGTATTGTCCTGCCAAAATAACTTTTTTTTCCATCTCCTCACACTGTTTTTCTTTTAACAACTCCTTTAATTACCTTGATGTTCCATTTCTGTAACTGTTTGGTCCTTTTGAAAATAATTGATCATTCATTCAAAATACTTTACTTTTTCCAAAATCAAATCATGGTCATAACCTTTGCTGCAAATTTTGGATCCTGAATTTCTTTGACCAAGAGAAAGCTAAGAACTGCCAGTTCAGGGCCTATTGCTTACTTTTTGGATCATAATTTGTTCTTCAGCAGTAAATCATTAAAAAAATTACTAGATTACTGAAAATTCTACAAGGTATGCACTCAATATTGTTTTTGGTTGGTCTTCAAACAATTTGACATTCACTTAACTGACAATTTCTGCATACACAACTACTCATGAATTGTAAATCCAACAAATTCCTTGGATATCTTGAGTGTCTCAGTAGCCTTGAACCATATCATGTTGAAATATTGGTTCTCATCTAATCACCAAAGGTAAGCAACATTGAACCTGGTCAGTTCCCTAGATGGCTAACCATGTGGGAATATCAGGTGTTGTAAGCTTAGATGTGCAGGCGGTGTAATGGATAATGGCTTGGAATGAGAAATTGATGAGCAGTTAGAATTCCAGTCTGGTTTGTTACATTCATTACGTGGAAATGTCATTGGGGAAAGGTATGAATCCACATCTTCTCCTCTTAGCTATGGGTTAAATAGTAGGAATAATATCTTAAAATCATTATCTTCAATATCTGTTAATACAATATTCTCTTGTAAAAAAAAATATTACTCTTACAATCCAAAAATTTTTCACCTTTAAATAACCTAAGAAAGGTTGATAAGCTGTAAAAAAACAAATCTGTCAATCAAAAATATACTGTCTCAGCAATTCTTTGGGCCGAGATTGGTCGATTGGAACAAAATCAGGTTCTGAGCATGATCCACAATTTCAGGAGTGGAATCCATTGAAGTTCTCTCCAGACTGTGCTATATCTCAGACTTCAAAATCTCTATGCTGAAAGTCGGAATATCAATTATTCATAATTTGTGTATGACAAGCTCATGTCACTCAATGTTTACATCATACACTTATGGATTTCCTTTGGAGTCTGTTTTTTTTTTTTTTTCTTTAGAAACAGGAACTTCATAACAGCTTGGAGTTCAGCACTTGAAAATTCCATACTTTCCGTTGACATGGTTCAGTCAATGCACTGAAAGAAATTCATAAACAAGTGCTAGGATTTTGCAAATTGGCACTTTACAATACAACAGAACACTCTTTCCAGCCTATAGTAACAAAATACCTCAGATTTTTGGAAGTGGGTCAGGTCAAGAACTTTACGTCATTCTCTTGTACAGATTTTGCAAATGTAAATATCAGATTGAGTACTATTCTGTTAAGCTATCAAAATTAGGATACTTGCTATCAAATTAGAATAACTTCAATATTGTCTTTTCCCTTCATTAATTAATGGTTGATGTGTTAAGTGTTTATGTTCTCTTGTTGACAAATTTGCTCAACAAATCTTTTTGCTTTTACTCTAATCTGATGTTTTTCTTTTTTTAATCTGTAAAGAACATATCTCTCTTTTTTTTTTTTTTCTTTCAATCTGTTTTTTGCTTTGGTGTGTTGATTTTTTTTTTATTAAACATAAATTTCCAGTTATTAACAATGAAGACAACAATTTTCATAAATCAGTATCTGAATGTGTTGAAAGTTTGAATGCTCTATTTTCCTTTGTGAAATAAATTTTTTTGCTGTTAAAACACAAGTTGAAATCAAGTGGATAAGGCATTCAATTGTAACACCACTATGCCTACAGGTGATCAGACTTACTGTTGGTGACAATATTGGCACTAATAAAAAATTGAATAGTTGGACAAATATCTTCTTCCATGTGTGTGTAATATATATATATATATATAATGAGAAAGGACAGATGGAGTAAGAATCCACAGTTCTTAGCATTTACTTTTTTAAAAAAGTGCTCAATACAAAGTAGAGCAAAATATTATTATATTATTTCCATTATAATAGATTACAGTAAAAACATTTTACATTGCTACACAAAAATGGTTCCTCTTCAGACTATGGTAGGTAACATATTTTTATCTTTCAAAAGAGGTAACAAAATATTTGCAAAATTCCCAAATAAATCATTTCTTTCATATGTTATCTACCATCGCCTGAAGAGGAACCATTATAGTTTTGAAACATGAAAGTTTTTCTGTAACGATGTAAAATGTTTTTATCGTAATCTATTAGAGTAAAAATATCTTTAAAATATATATTTTTATTATGTTTTGAGTATATTTAATACTAGATTTGTTCTGTTTTCAGTGATTGACAAAATGATTTAAAAGTTCAAGTACTTTCTTCTTTTTTGTTGCTGGACTACCTAAATATGCATCTTGGATAAAATGAAGCAAATGTATCAATAAAGAAAAATAAATATGAAGTTTACATCTCTTTGGAATCATCAATATTATTATACAGAGGAAAATAGCATATAACCTGCCTAACATGCTTGTGTAAATGGTTGACAGAATGGGGATTAGGAGGAATAGAAAAAACATAAAATTTACTAAGAAAATTGTGGAGAATCACAATTTCCAACATAGAAGAAAATTTTTTAAATCTTTAATACTTATTTAGTACTAAATTTGTGAAATTATCCTTTAAGTTTCTTAAGTGTTTATCCTTTTGCTGAACTTTAAAACAAATGGAAACTTTATTTATTGTCTTTTATAGCGGAAATAAGATAGATTACTTATGAAGGATTAAAAATAATAACTGTTTCCATGCTTAAAATGAAGACAATCTCCAGATTCCTTTTCCTTATCTGTGAATTATGGAATTTATTGCAGCATCACAGCACCAAGCTACAATTTGGCAGGCAGTGTTATCTCTATGCTACTAAATGCTGCAGAGATGTGGCCTCTCAGTAAGATCCTTAAGTACTGCTTATCATAATCATTGAAGGGGTGCACTGGTCTGAGCTTGTGTCCAATGAGGACTGGCCAACTGAAGATCCTCTGCACTATTGCTCAGTGCTGTGTTCACTGGCTCAGTCACAACCTGTGATGACCACCCTACCAGAGTCCTCTGCCAGTTCTGGCTGCCATCTTCAAACTGGTGAGGTCCACAAGGTCCTCACCAGTTTGCAGCAGTTGGAATGATGTTGTGTGTCAGGACCACCAGCAGATTAATTTGGCTCTGGAGGATGTTTTGATATTCCACCAAGACCATGAGAGTTGGAGGGACAAGGGAGCTTTTGTTGGCTCAATGCCTTCATGGCATGCGATTTAGCAGCAGCTGCCTTCTCCGTGATTTTGAATTCATTGTAGTATTTCTCTTAGACTGGCTGCCACCCAACACTAGAGAGCTCAGTCTACCCTGTAATAAGTATATCTTATCTGTGTTAAATTCATTAAACCTGTGTGCACACACAAACACTACTTAATAAATTGTCATGTCTATTGTTGGAATTCTTCTCTTTAATGCAAGTATTAATATTTTCTATTGATATTGAAATGCCAAATAAATTATTCAATAGTGATTTTTGTATGTTTTATTTAGAATGAATTAATTTTTAAAGTAACTGTTTTTATTTTTTCTTAGTGAATTCCTATTCTAATGTACAGTTATGTTTATGATATGTTGTTATATAAAATTACTTAAATGTTATTTTTAGTGGATACTCATATTTGAGTAGCCACTATATTTATTAAATGGTATATTTATTTTCATCTACTGGCCTGAATATTCAAGAAATCTTATCAGAGAAAAATATCTGCTCCCTGGCAGGATTTGAACCTATATTCTTCTAGGGGAATCCATCATTAGATCTGATATGCTTTGACTTCTCAACTACAGAGTGCATTGATGACCAAGCAAGTTTGAAAAAGTGCTTTTGCATTGATGACCAAGCAAAGTTGAAAAGTGCTTTATATATATATATATATATATATATAATGTGAAAAGTGAATATAAATATAAATAAATATATATATATGTATAATTATTTATATATTATATATATATATATATAGAAATCAATATCAGAGATATATAATATATTTGGTTGGATCCAACAAAATATATATATATATATATAGTGTGTGTATTTGGGCAGCAATCCTTCTTTTATCCAAGTTTCATTGATGATGACTTATAAGGCACTGCGATTAAACATTTTATTAAATTTTTCTTGCATTTGTAAAAGTATTTTCTTTTCACAATGTGTAAAAATAGTCCAAATGATCAGCCAGTCTAAACCCTTTCAACTAATCTATTAGCTTGTAGGCTTTTGATATATTTTTATAACTTAAATGGTAATGTTAATATAAGTGTTTCTTGTAAAACATTCACTATTCATAAATGTAGGCAATTGTTTATAACCAAAAGTAAAATTGACTACAAAAAGTGAAGAATTTGGAACAATAATTATTGTTTAGCTCAGTCATAAAGATATACTGTAGAGGAACAAAATGACATTTTATATCCATGTCATAGAATGAATATTGATGAAGATTAACTCCAACTATTATTCACTAAAAATAACAGCAACGATTTTTGGTCTATCCAATAAATATTGATTTGATATTGATTTTTGCTTGCTTATGATTTACACAAATGCTTTTAATTTTTTTTTTTTAAAAAGTATGTTTTAAATTTTGAAAATTTGAAATAAATTTCTATTATTCATTTTTTATTTATTTATTTTTTTACAGATGTCAAGTCTGTGGAGTTTATTAATCTCTGTCGTCTTAAGGCTCATGACTTTGAAGTGGTTAAAGTCATTGGCAGAGGAGCCTTTGGGGAGGTCCAGCTGGTAGGTATATTAGATTTGATTAAAATTTTTCCCACAAAAATTGATTACCTTTTTTTAATAACAGAATTTTTATGACCAACTGATTTACATAATTGTACTAATTTTGCATTTGTTGTCAATGATATTGAAAAGTCTGAGAATATGACTTTAATTATTTTTTTAAAATGGTAATAATTTTTATGTAAAAGATAATTTTGAAGGTTTTCTTTCAATCAATGTCTGTTTGGTATTTGTTCCTTATAGTTTCCTTCATTTGCTGTATTATTTTCAAAGTTTTAAACTTAACCTTCATTACTCTGTATGTGACTTCATTTGCTGTACAAAATTTTTTCCTGCCACTGAAGGTGACTGTGATCCCTGAACAATAGTGTGTTTGAATTTCATAGATGTGTTGTCATATCCTGCTATGGCAACAGTAAGCAACTTTGAGTTAAATTAACAATAAGGATACTGCAATTGAGAAGCTTTAAAAAAGAATGCAGTGGAAATGGAAGTAATATTAGTAATGCAGAGTGCTAAAGGTTAAAAATATCTTTTTATGAAAAGTTATTTTATTTCCATTTTAAAATCTCTAAATTTTAAATTGAAATAATTTAATCAAATTTTGATTCCCCCCCCCCCTGGTATTCGTAATATAAATTTTAATTTATTTTTCTTTAATCAAACAATATTAAAAAAATCAGTAATTCTGCTTATTGTTGAATACCAAAAAAATTGTTCATAAAATGTAACTTTTTCAGATTCTAACATGCTTTTTGTATGTGTTTCAAAGAAACATCATCAATAGTCAATTTTAATGTTACCATTTGAAATTTGAATTTATTTCTTTTGTTTTCAATAATACATTTTTAAGTTTACATCTCTATATTTAGTGAAGATATAGAATATGATTGTTAAAAGGATGATATATAACATTTTGATATTTTAAAATTATCAATTTTGAAAACTCTGAACTAAAATCTAATTTATTTTACTTTTTTTGTTTTTTATACAGTTTAGCTGCATTAATAAATATTCATAACTCTTTACCTCAGTGATCCCAAATGATTTGGCATACCTCATAGGTGTGGCAGAAGAGGATATCTGGTGATACAGAATGATTGAAAGACAGTCAAAGATTTAGAAACAGTTTCAAATCTCATATGCTAAAAATAAATATGATTTCAAAATTTAAAATATTATTATTATGGATTACCTGTAATTGCAAACATGAATCCCAGTATAAATAGTTATAAATAATTATTAACTGATTTTATCATTGTGATATTTTTGCATTATATCAAGTATTAAGGATATAATAACGAGTCTGCAAATTGGAGCAGAGAGTTATTAATGATAATGTTCTGACTTCGAATCTGCAGTTATCTCCCTTTAACCCTCACTCTGTTTTTTTAATTTTTAAATGTACTTTTTATCACATAAAATTTGGTGAGATGCGAGCAAATTTTCATTCTGAAAATGCGTCCCAGAGAAAAAAAGTTTGGGAACCACTGTTTTACTTCATTTACACTATTGTCCTCATCTTTATGGTTATTATCACAACATTTTGGCCATTGTGCTCTCTGGCCTTCATTCAGTGGTTGCTGATTCATGTCACAGGGAATTTGATATTGAACTCTTTATTTCATCTACAGAGGTAGATTGTTGTTCTGCTGTCCATGACTTGTTCTGATTTTAGTACTGCTCAGTTATTGTTCACTCTTTTTCAATTCTAAGTCTGCACTACTTGGCCCATAGTTTGAACTCACAGTTATTGTGGTACTCTTTATATGGATTTTAATTATTTTTGTCACTATTGACTTATTTAAATGTCCGGTTTTAAAAAGTTTACTGATATATTTTTGCAGTAGAGCTCTTTGAATTTAATTCTAGATTAATTTCCTAACCAAGTGAAACTGTGTCTGCTTGCATCTTGTATTATGTCTTGTTGACCTCTATGTAACCTCCTAATCTCTTGAGACATTAGTAGGCGTGGAACCTAAAAGAGAATCTTAATTTGCATTGCTGGTGTTTTGAAATAATTCCAAGTTGGCACTATCTTTGACTTCCTGCCAGACAAACACTTGCATTCCATTCAAATTAGTTGCTCTTATTCTATTGATTCTTTAGGGCTGATCTTGGTCCTCCTGGCTTTTATTATTGTATTATTAAATAATAATAATAATGAAATAAGATAACATAATTTGAGGAAACTTAAACGTCAATTAAACAATCAAATTTAACATTTCTGGATGTTAATTCATCTTCAGAAATATATTTATTAGAAACAAAATTATAATATCGCATTACTAGAATGTGTGCCTTGTTAATGATTCAATTTGTCAATAAATTGAAATGGAGCTTATTACTCTTAAAACATACATATGCTCATTTTCTTTTTATTTACTTTCTGTATCAGAACAACATATTGTTGCAATGTGACAAAATTTTCAAATCTGTTTTATAAAATCATTTGAGTGTGAACATCATCTAATATTTCCAATGATAATGTCCATACAAAAATGATTTTATTTGGTAAATGTTTTTTTTTTTTTTTTTTATCCAAAGCATTCTCTTCATCCTTTGCATGTTAAGTTCATATTTATTGTTTATGATCGATTTTGTTTACTATGGTTTATCACTCTTTGCAGGTTATTTAAAGCCAAAAAATATTTTTAGATTGTAAGAATTTTTTTTTTTTTTTTTTAAAAATAATAACGGTTTAGTGGGGGGAGGGTGCGTGGAAGACAAGGTGGATTCATACTTTTCCCAAGGTTATTTGTGTGTAAATGAATAATATGAACCAAACAGGAACTCTGCTTTCCAATTAACAATTCCTAGCCATTATCCATTACATCAACTACACATCCAAGCTTACAGCACCTGGTATTCCAAAGTAGTCACCAATCTAAGTGCTGACCAGTCTTGACCTTGCTTAACTTCAGTGATCGCATGGGGAACCTGCATTTCAATGTGATGTGGCTGTAAGACTTTTTAATATTTAAGAGTTAGAAAATGCACATATATGTATTATTAGACAATATCACACATTAATATGAGCACTTATCATAGCATAGTTAATAACCTTGCCTAGACCGTTTCCTCTTGTAGTAAGGTAGATTCTCATGGAGTATTCCTCTGCTATGGCTTTATATGAAGCTAAGATAAGCATAATAATTATACAAACATTAATGTTGGATTTGGTTGTTATGATTTGTCAGTAGATAAAAATATATTTGTAATTAATATTTGATATTTTTAAGATAACTATTTAAAAAGTAAAAAACTGCATTTCCTGGAAATTTGTTTTGTATAAAGAGTTTTATTTGTTGCTTGAGGTTTTCAGTTTCCTTGTCTACCTCACTATTTTTTTTTCACTTGAAACCTTACAAAGGGGTGCTAAAATGTTCTTATGTTCAACCAAAAATATTTTTAAAAAATTTTTTTCATTTTTTTAGGGTTTGTGGGGAGAAGCTGAGAACTTTTGGATTTTACTTTTAATCTAAGTATAAATGTGTTTGTTTGTGTGTAGAATATATATATATATATATATATATATATATATATATATATATGCACCCCAGTCCAGTGGGAAGTGATGTTATCTATTCCATAAAAGTTGATTATCACTTGAATTGATGTTGACCGATGAACGAGTTTTCAGCTTTGGTTTTAAAAAAAAAAAAAAATCAAGCAGTAAATTTTGGTGTAGGTATGTGATCTTTTATACAAGTAATTTGAAGTTTGTTTTTTTTTTTTTTTTCTTTCTCTCACATTTCAGTAGGCTTCTGTGATTGTTGAATTTTTGCTTTATCTTTTAAATAACAGTTTAAATATACATCTAGCAGCAAGGCCTCTGATCATGAGGTTTTGAGGAGTGTGGAACTACCTCTTAATTGCTGTTGTTCACAGGTCTACCTTGACCCAGGGTGGTAGAAGCTATTAGGGTTACAACTATGGGCAAATAGTTAACTGCCAAACTGGGGCCAAAACACTATGAAAGTATAAAAAATTTTATAGTAAGAATACCAGCAATACATTTTCATAGTAAAAAATACATTTTCTAAAAAAAAAAAAAAATTACCAGCAATAGACTTTTGCAAAAAAAAAAACAAAAACATTTCTACTGCTTCCCAAAAAATTAAATTTCAGCATTTAAGGAGTTGATATGCTGCTGAACAAACATACAATGTTTAAAGAAAAAAATATTTTTACCTAACAAAATTATTAGCATGAAGCTGTCCATGTCTGAATCTGAATATTTGTTTATGTGATGTCTATAATGTAATGTAACATGAAGTCTTTAAAAAATGTAAACTGTCATCCTCAAAAAAAGAATCTTGTTACATAAATTGTAATTATTGTCACAGGAGAATAAATGCATTTCAGATTAAATTTGTAACACTCTTTTTTTTTTTTAAGAGAATTGAGTTCATTGTGACAACCTACTCCTCACAGAAAATGAAATGATATATGCATATAACCCTTCATCAGATATAGGTGAATAAGACATTTTGATTGATAGTAGTCAACCTGAAAACTTTACCAACCTTCTTAATGTACACAGATAGAATTACTGCAGCTTTTCTAGGATTGTATTTCATGTGCAGCATGTGACCTGGACTGCCTGTTAAATTTATGCAGCAACACTTGTCAAACCAAACAAATGCTTATAATTCAGTATGGGTAGTGGTGGTGGTGTTTCTGTGTGAGCAAATGATGACGAGCTAGTCTGATCTTTTTCTGTCCTTCATGCTGTGACCAACCAATTGTTGGTGCTGCCTGCTCTTGATTATAGGTCTACAGTAGAAATGGTAATTTAATGATTAATTTACAGTCACTGGGCTACTGAGTAGATTTTTTTTTTTTTTGCTGTAGAGTTATTATATAATAACAGGTAAGGGTAAAGTAGAACTCAAAGATCTTTTCATTTTTTAAGATGTTTACCTCTCTTCTCCTCATCTCTTAAATTTCATATTTGAAAAGAAAGAGGCAGAGAAATTGGTGAACCATGAAAATGATAAAATTGAAAGATGGTATTCATAAGTCATTTCACTTAAAACAGTGAAACTGGTAGATAAAATTGCTGAAGAAAAACTAAGATTTCACAGAAAAGATGACAAAATGGTAATGTTAATATTTGTGTTTCCTTATAGGGAAACATTTGGCAGTCATTGACCAAGCAGCCAGTATTACTGTTGAAATTTATAAAATGTTTTCTCTTAAAACAGTTTTTCAAGAAAATATGTTTATCAGGTCCAGTCACTGTTATTTTATTGCTCTTTCCAGTATTGATAGGGGTTCCTTCCTAACCTTTTGTTTGAAGTTGTGTGGAACACCAACATTCTGATTATATTGTTATTTTCTGTTTGAGTTACATGTGATATCCATTTTAGTTGTTGTTACTTTTGAAAGCTCTCAAGTGTCATGGTTTCTGTTATTTGGTATAGTTTTTTGTGATTCTGTAGCACCAGTCAACATGGTTCAAAGGAGGAGGATTTTCACCAACACCCACAGTCTTCACTTGTTGCTAACTTGATTCTTGAAAAAAAAATGTAAGGCTATAAGGTGATAAAAAATGTAAGGCTATAAGGTGATAAATGTGTTTGTGTTCTGGTCATTTATTTGGAGATGTAAGAGACAAGCACATTCTTCATCCAGATTAGATTTACCAGATCTGAAGAAAACCCAAGCTCAAGGTTGAAATGTCAGAAGCCTGAGTCAACCATATACCATACAAAATTAAAGTTGATAGATTCCACAGATTGATTGAAGTTTTTCAATAATGATGAAAACTGGAATACCATAACAAGATTTTGTAACAAAATTTATTTCAACTTTTGGTTCAATAGGTGACTAGTGTTTTTCTTTTCACAATTCTAATGCTTGACCCTGAACTTTAAATATGAGGTTGTTTGCTTGTTCTATCATTTTTCAAAGGTTGACATCACAATCTGGTGGTCTGTTCATTTACAGATCTTATTATGATCTTTTCTTCCCATGTCTTTCTTCCACTCTTGGCAGTCTCTTAGTGGAATTTCTTTTGTGTGTGTGTGTTTTTTTTTTTTTTTGTTTTTTTGTTTTTTTTTTACTCTTGTCTTGCATTCATTTATGTGGGGACTCCATCCACCAGCTTGTCACCAATGATGTATTGGTGTGATTTGACCATTGATTTGCATTCCTAAGAATCTCATTTGTTCCCCAAGCTCATGGCTCATTCATCCACTTGATAGATTTTCTGATAACCAACTTCCTGAAGAAAACTTTTCTTCTTATAAGTGAATGTTATGCAAATAAATCACACAGCTCATTGATGACTTTAGTTTAATTTTTTTTTTTTTTTTGTAGTGGAGGCTTTTCTCTAAATTTCATTATCCTAAGAGATTGCACCAATCCAATGGATAGGTCTTTATGTAAACACCTTACTCTCAAGGGTTTTTCAAGATAAATTTTGATTTCAGCAGAGAAGTATTTTATATACTTCCTAGCATCAGTTTAAAGTGAAGTTTGAAATAAGCTCATAATTTATGCAATAATTTTAATTCTTTTATTTGAAAATATTGTTCTTCATTAGTTTTTTATATATATTTATATATATATATATATATATACATACACACACAAAGATCACTGCCAATATCATTTCTCTCTCTCTCCACTCACTCAACAGTTAACTGTAAATCTGGTTTATTTGGAAATTTTTTGATGATTTTTCTTTTATTATCATTTTAAATTTCAATTTTGTTTGATTTGTAGGTTCGGCACGTAACTTCAAGGAAAGTATTTGCAATGAAACTTCTCAGCAAGTATGAAATGGTAAGTTTATATATATATATATATATATATATATATATATATATATATAATAATATTAAATGTACTGTTTTCTCAGAACTTGCTAATTTCAGATAAGAACACCTTTCTAAAGTCAAGCTTTTATAAATCAATATTTAGTTCAAAGAGAAAATCTCTTTGAAAAGAAAATCTATAATTAAAAAAGCTAGTCTGAGTCATCTGTTAATAACATTCATTTTTGGTTATTGAAATGGTAGACACAATTTAAGGCAGTTTAAGTGGCAGTTTAGATTTTACACATATTTAGAATTTGTCTGTTTATACAATCAAGTGTCTATTTTAGTAAAACAGTTTCTTTTAATCTAATGCCTATGTTGAAGTGTTTCATTGAGATTTCTGTTTTAGTACTACTCAGTCCCTTATAATCAACAAGTATATTTAAGTGTCAATTAACTAGTTTAATTTTGGAGAATCATAAATTTTTTGATTTTTATGAAACCTATTTTTCCTTAAAGTTCTTACCCCAAACAATGCAGAGTCCATGCTCTTAATTTCCTCTCATTTTCATTGATTTTCCTGTTAATGCACTAATTTTTTTCTTTGTGTATTATAAGGTTAAAATACTTGTAAAAGTCATTATACTTAAGATTGTAATTTACTATATTTTCTGCCTGACTGTAACATAAAATAATTGTTTTCATGAACTTATATCTGCATAAGCAAATTAAAGTTAGATTAGTTTTTGTGTAAAATTATTACTATTAGTAAATTGTGTAATATATCATTTGAACTGTTTTTATCATAATTGGAAAAACTGTTAACCTTTATCACTCTGTATGTTTATCCTACCACTGAAAGTGATTGATCCCTGAATTTGAATTTGTTTGAATTTCATAGTTGTGTTGTCATATCCTGCTATGGCAACAGAAAACATTTTTGAGTGAAATTAACAGTAAGTATACTGCAATTGAAAAAGAATGCAGTGGAAAGGGAAGTAATATTAGTAATGCAGAGTGCTAAAGGTTAAAAGTAAAACATTTTCTGTAGTATGATAGAAATTTTAAATTAGTTATCATCCATATTGGAATCAATTACTGGTTAAGGTCAGATATAATTTTTACTTTTATTTATTTAATTTTTTAAAATTCTTTCAGATTAAACGTTCAGATTCAGCATTCTTCTGGGAAGAAAGAGAAATTATGGCAAATGCTAACAGTGATTGGATTGTGCAAGTAAGTTTTATTTTCATTATTAATTGTGAATTTAAAAATTGATATCCTTGTAGATCTTGTTTTCTGTTTATATAAGTATTTCTGTTTCTGATGATTTATTTTTTTTATTGTTATCATTGTTCTTAGGTATTTTTAAATTTGTAGCCTTATTATATAAAATAGTAATGCTAAAATTAACCATTTCCATACAAGAAACATTCACCATTCATTGACCTAGCAGTTTTTATTCATGAAATGCTTTTATTAAAACAGTTTTTCTGGAAATTATACTGAATCTCATTGTTATTAGTCTTTTTAATACTGATAGGAGTTTCCTTTCAAGCCTTTTGTTTTTGGTAGTGTGGAAAGTTAACAGTTTTATTATATCATTATTCTCTTTTGTAGTTGTGCTACCCATTTTTGTTGTTGCTGCTGTTGGAAGTGCTCAAGTGATGTGGTTTTTGTTATTTAGTAAAGCTCTGTGATTTTGTAGCGCTAGTCCATCAGGGTCTGACAAAGGTTTATTTGTAAGATTCAAAGGAATCTGTTCATTGAAAGCTATCTTTAACTATTCATCTGAGAAAATGGTTATATACAGTTGATAGTTCCAACATTTCTGAAGGAGTTGGACGGCACACATGACACCCATATGATTGTCTAGATCTGATATAGCTATTTAAGACATGTTCAGGTCAATATTTTAGGTTTGTAGCATCTTACAGTGCTGATCAAAAGTAGTCCTTGTGCAACCTGTATTCAGCTTCCTTAAATACTGATGTATTGTTTGTTGTTTGTTTTATTTTTTACATTTTTTGTATTGGTTTGCATCAAAATGTAATAGTAATTCTTTTGTAAAATTTAATCTGGTTTTGTGATCAGTCTATTTGAGAGAAGTTTAAAATGTTTAACAAATCTATATTTTAGATTGGTTGGTTGTTTTTGTTTAGTGGTAGATTATTTAATGCTGAAATATAAATGTTTTATAGGCTGTTTTATTTTATTTTTGGAGATATTAATGGTTTAGTGAAACAAATCTTACTAAGAGGTAGATTCATACCTTTCCCAAGAGTATTTGTGCATAAGTGAATATAATGAACCCAACTGGAATTGGAACTTTCTCTGATTAATGATTCAAAGCCATTATCCATTGCACCACCCACACATCCAAGCTTACAGCACCTGGTATTTGCAAATGGCCACCCATCTAGCTAATGTGCAGGCTCAATGTTACTTCATTTTGATGTTCATTTGAGAACTGGTGTTTCAACATAATGTGGCCATATATATATATATATATATATATATATATATATATTTTATAGATATACCATTTGAATATCTTCTATGTGCCATGTCCCTTAAGGATGTTGATGACTTTCCACAATTTCCCATCTTTTGTAGCCCTTAATAAATTTTGTCTTTTTATTATCTCTCCTAAACCCTGTTCTGCTATCCATTTACACAACCCTGTTAAGTAGGTTATGTATGTTTTTCCTATCTCCTTCTTTCCTTCAATATGTCCTTTGATTGTCAAATTTTCCAAGCCCTCTTTTATCATTATGTGCCCTAGAAATTTCAAATGTCTCTTTCTGATGTTAAGTATAAGTAATTTAAATTTGTCAGTTCAGCTTTGGTAAGAAGAGACTATGAAGGGTTCTGTTTTGTCAAAAGTAACCTAGAACTGAACAAAGCATCAACTTTTAGCATTCTTCAGTACATACTCTGACAATTGTTTTTTTTTTTTTTTTTTTTTAAAGAACTCCTGCCAGACAAAGGCCACCCACTTTACATTTTGTAATGACCATTACTTGCCTAGCTTGCTTTCTCCTCAGATTTTAATTTATGGACCATATGTTATAGGTAGTAACTTGTCTATGGGACAGATGGTATCTTAAAAAATCAGTGGCTGTTATGTAAAGTCAAATAGCTTGAAATATGTATATCTCCTTATCCTCTGTTGCCTGTAATCCAATTAACTTGATAATACATGTATAGTTCACCTCACAATAACAAGTGTTTGCTTATAGAAAATTATAAAAAAGGTCAGTTATATTGCTATGCATCATTTGTTTGTAATTTTGGGAAGTAGGGCATGTTCTGTGTGGGGAAAACTGTAATTAATAAAATAATGATTGCAATAGCATTCTGTTTTTGCAGTGTGATAACTGTGTATATGTAGTCCTTTAGGAAAACTGACAAGAAATTATGTTCATTAAATGAGATGGGCTTGTGTCTATCTGTTTTTGTTTGTCTGTTTCCTGGTATATCTCTCTCTTTCTCTTGTTGCTGATCAGTTTCTAAGTTTGTGGAAGTATGCACAGGTTAAAGTGATGGTTGAATAAAATAATTATTGTTCAGGAATTATTATCTTCATACAAAAGGCATTTAAATTTTAATTGTTTACTTATTAGCATTTGGTGTTGAAGTGTTGTTAAATTTAAAAAAAAAAAAATTAAAACAGCTCTTAGCAATTACTAAGAATCTTATTGAAAATTTCACTATAAAACTGTGTCCTAGTAAAACTCTATTGTTCTTACTATTTTAATGCCTGCCTTTATCTATTTTTGTTTGTCATTTAATCCTAATCTTTAATCTCTTCTTAAATCTGCACTTTATATGGGTAATAGGGCCACATCCAAACCACACTAAGTGGAGTTGTTACCATAGTTTCAATAATGTTTTATGGGATAGAGTTACTAGCCCATGCCCCACTGGTTTTGAATTCAGAGTTGTTCTAACTAGTTGTCAACCTAGCTGGGGGTGAGGAAGAGATATTCATAACTTTCACAATGACATTTGCATTTGTGTGAAAGAGAATGCAATGGACTCAGCTGGAATTTAAATTTATCTGACCGATACCCCCCCCCCACTCATAACCACTACGCTATACGTGCATCCTTTAATCTCTATTTATTCCAAATAAAGTCATTACAGTGGGTTGAGTTGAGATGTAATTTTCAACCAATGAAAGAAATGGGCAGAAAAATTGTAAGTTAATCATTGGTTGAGTGCAGTTAGGATTTAAAGAGCGCATTTAATACAAAGCTTTTCATTGTTAGAATGTTATATTGGGCTGGGATGTTGTAAAAATGTTTTAAGACATTCCAAAATTTATCATATGAAGAGATTGCAAGTAAATAGAAATACATTTAGGTGAAAACATTATTAATAATAGTAAATGTATTAAAAGTATTTTCCTCTTGATGTGTTTTTATAGGACTTGATATGTAATTTGATCATTTAGAGATCATCAGTTAAAAATTATCTCTACCTATAAAAATGGGTAAAAGGAATAACATCTTAGACATCTTGCTACACATTTATTCTATGGATTAGAGAAAATGATATATACATCTTTATATATCAGAACAGTGTTGTCAAAATTAATGACAAAATGGAAAATATTTTTTGTGTAAAACATTTTATCCTTTAGTACATCTTTGGATTAAAGTGCTGTTTACATTGATAGGATTACACATGTTCAAGAAGGAGGGAGGACTGAAATTTTAAACTGTTAAATTATGTTTTTTTTTTTTTTTTTTTTTAAATGTTTGTATACATTGTCTAGCCAACTTAATTTAGTTTCTTTTTCTTTATATTTTTATCACATTTGTTAATAAGTAACCTACATTGTGATAGATCTTCCAAGAAAGGTGAAGTATAAGGACCTGGATGCAAATTTACTATGGATGATCTAGTGATTAAAATTGAATATGAAAAAAATCTCATAAAATATTTCAAAATAGAAGAGTGGACCATTCTGAGAAACTTAATGAGTCAAAATATATTCTTCTGCATACCAACTCTATCACAACTACAATTGAATAGAATTTATCTAAGCATAACATAAAATTTGTTATTACTTCTAAAACAATAAAGTAGCATTTTTTTAAAATAAAAATTATGGTCACTCATTACAGTGAGCAATTAATGCATTGAGGGTTCTTTTGTAAAAGATCCCTTTTATGTTCATATAATCTTTTATTTAAATTCTTCAAAGTTTCTCCTGTGTTCTTTGCAGCAATCATTACTGATAATAGTCAATTTCTCCTTTAAGTTTTAACTTATTATTTTGTTTTTTAGTAATTAAATCTTTTATTTTAGAAGTAGTTAAAAAAAAAAAAGAGCCCCCAAATTTTTTAGTTTAAAATTTTAGCATCCACTCCTCTTTTTGGGCATGTAAATCAAGATAAATATAATTTATTCTGATGAAGTCCTAAAGGGTAAAACACTTTACACAAAATATTTTTTCCACTTTGTCATTAATTTTTCTTAACATTCTATGGATTTCAAATTACATAATGTATAAAAATCCTAATTTCAAATGTCTCAAAAGTATGAAATGACTCAAGTTTTAGGTTAGGTTCCCATTATATGAAAAAAAAAATATTGGGAATTAATTAACCAAAAATATTGATGTCTCATAAAAATCCACCATGTTTTCTTGATTGAATTTCTGAAACTTTAAAGATCACTACAGACAATTCTAGTTCATGTAAATCAAATCATTGTGAATCTTGAGACACTTATATATTCTTTTATGACTAAAGTCTCAAATTGTATCTTGTGTGTTATAACAGTTGTTTTGTTCATTAAGATGCTTTATGAAATGTTTGTTCTTTATGTGTGATAATAATGCACTCTTTATTGACTGTTTGGTTGTCTTTCAAAGATGTTGCTCTATGTATTTCAATATTCATTGATTCACTTCATATTTTATTACTCTTTACAGTTGCACTATGCATTCCAAGACAACAGATACTTATATATGGTGATGGATTTTATGCCTGGTGGAGATCTGGTGAACTTGATGAGCAATTATGATGTACCAGAGAAGTGGGCCAAGTTTTATTGTGCTGAAGTTGTCTTAGCCCTTGATGCTATCCATTCCATGGGATTTGTTCACAGGTAAGTTTACTTGGTTTTAGTAATTTTCTAGAAATAGATTTGTTCTATTTTTAAATTCAACCACTTGTTTATAATGAATTGTTCTGCTCTACATATTTTTAGTAAACTTGTGCTATATGTGTATTTTGCAATTTATACTTGAGTATAAAGGTGTCTATTTTGCATATTTATAAGTCTACCAATCATTCATGCACTGAATATTGTGGTCAAATCTGATCTGATGCTCCTGCTATATATTTAGAGACTTTTGATAAAATACAAATAAGAATCTGCAATGTCATTGATCCTGACCTGGCATCTCAGCTTTACTCACTTTCCCCACTGCTGTAGCATAGCTTCCCTGTGCCTTTTCTATGAATATTTTCATGGTAGTTATTCTAATGAGCTTTACTCTTTGGTAGCTCAACTTTACGAATGTAAGTACAGTACTAGATTGGCTGTAATGTCTCATCATTTTCCAGCTGAAGTGGTTCTATGTTAACAGTTCTATGTTATTCTTACATTTGCGGAACTGTATTCCAGTTTATTGCTTTCCCGTCAACTCCAATCTTCAAAGATTTAAATGCAATATCAATTTTTATCTTCTATCTTCTCAATTCCTATTCTTTTATTATTCTCTCTCCTTAATAATGTTTTATTTTTCTCATATTCTCTCACTCAGTAACCCTTTGTATCTTAGTGTCTTTATTGCCTTAGTTGGTGTGAAATGATTAATAAAAAAAAAGTAACTGACTTTAGGCTTTTGATCTGATCTGCTAATATAAAGTCATTTTTATAGTATTTTGAAGATTATGTTGTAAGAAATCTGAAATAAGCATCTAAATTCAATCATAAAGATGAAAATTAAAGCCTGAAAATTTCAATGATAATGTTACTTTGCTCTCAAATTAGCCAATATTGTGAACAATATATCACTAAATATGTGTCTATATTTCTGAGATTAGGTATTGTAACTATTTACATTGTCCGGGTTATTCAGAAAAAGCATGGCATGTGGAACTAGAACAATCTACTCACGTAGACAAAATAAAGAGTTGGAAATTCCAATGATATCACCTGAAGAAGGTCAGAGCATACAATGACTAAAACATTGTGAATATGACAATAAAGATGAGGACAATGTAAATAGTGTAAATATGTTGCTAAATGTTTTAAAGTTTTTAAGGTTGTTTAATATTTCAATATTTAATAGAATATTTTTGAAAAAAATGTAAAAATCCTTTTGAAATAGTTTATATCTTTCATCGATGAAAGGAAACAATTCTCCCATTGTTTATGTCAACATTTTTAAAGCTTCAGATTGTCAATGTCCACTGAACTGAATCAATCTTGACACCTTTAAAGCCATGGTTACTGGATTCATCTACCCAGTACCTCAAAATAAAAACAAACTGACAACATTCCATCTCTTTTTGTAAACCATATTGTGTTTTCTGGGAGCTTTTTCATAAAAAAAAAAAATGATGTATACATAGATTGACTATTCCTATTCTAAAACATTGATTTACAATTGATAGTGATTTGGTAAATGATAGATGTTGTAAGTTTGTCCCTAAGTTAAAGATTAAATAATACGACTATTAATGATCTCATAACATAGAACTCTTTATAGTATTGGATGAGTTCATAGAGTCACTGGGAGTGTACCCTTTACTCCACAACATCTCCCCTTTTGAGATTATTACTTTATTAAATAAATATATTCTTTATTTTTATTTCATATTAATATCTCCCCCTCCTCTTTCTGGTGAGTTCACCAACATACTTTATTTTGTAGCATTTCCATCTCGAATCCACTTCTAGTTCTTCTATACATTTTCTTGTCCTTGTTGGTTCCACAATTTGTTTTGGCACTTGCATGTCAAAAATGTTGTACAATGTTTTAACTGGTTCTTCAGATCTTTCATCAGTTAATTTTTTCTTCAGCTGATGTAGCCCTTTTTTCCAATTCTAACTGCTATTATGCAGTCTTCCCATGTTTCCTTTCCATCCTTGTATTCTCTAAAGAATACTTTATAAACAACCTTGAAAATATTGGTGTTGCTTTTATTAACCATTTGTGATTTTCAACTTGGCAATAATGTGTAACATGTCTGATGGTGTGTTGGGGTTAGGTCTTAATCGGTATAGTCTCAAAAAATTTTGAATTGTCTCCTCATTTAATTTGTCCTCACTTGCTTTTTTTAACGCCTTTTGAATGTTCCCACAAACTGTTCTGCTTGTCCGTTAAACCTTGAGTGATATGGTGGGGTTGTAATATGTTCTATAGAAAACAACTTGCAAAAGTCTTAAAATTCTTTTCCAGTGAATTGTGTTCAATTATATGATATTAGGGTATCTGGTATGCCATATCTCGCAAACAGTTCATGCAAGAAATTCACTGTCATTGAGGATGTAGGATTTTTTGCATTTGTAAATTTCCAGTCATTTCATAAAACTATCAACTACCACTAGATAATATGCTCCATCCATAGGACCTGCAAAATTTATATGCCATCTTCAGCACAGAATGTCTGTTTTTGGCTAAGGTTCTATCTTTGTGATAAGTAGTTTTGCTACTAGAGCACAACCTCTACCTACTTTTACTGTTTTATTTTTTTTCAATATCTTGGTCCATTCTGGTCCAATATACAAAACTTGTCATTAGAGATTTCATTCTTGAAATGTCATGATGTCCAGAATGAAAATCCTTTAATATATGTTTCAATAACACAGTATTACAAATTTTTGTCCGTACATTACAACACCATTGCATATTGAGTATGCGTTCAATTCTTGATTCTGTTCTTTTTTTAGTTTCTTTTAATTGCTTTTTTATTTTAGCAATAAAGACTTCCTTTTTTGCTTTAATTTCATCCAGTGTAACTGGTAATTCCCGTATTTCATTGCACAGAACATTTTTAATTTCCTTCTCGCTTTTTAGCACTGCTAAGACTGCGTCCACCATTTTTAGATATTAACCTAGATAATCCATCAGCATGTCCTAATTTTTTAGACTGTTGGCACTCCATCATAAAATTACAATTTAACAGGATGGTACCTCAGCACTGTAATCTGTTAGGTGTATGGGTAGGTATACCTTTCTTTGAACCATATATCACTAATAACGGTTTATGGTCTGTTTGCAATGTGAAATTTCTTCCATGAATAACTTTATGGAATTTTTTTCATAGTGAATATGATTGCTGAAGCTTCTTTCTCTATCTGGCTATAATTTTTCTTTGCTGGTAGAAGCAAGCGTGAAGTATGAGCAAAAGCTTTCATTTTACCGCCATCGTATTTGTGTAAAATCACTGCTCAAACACCGTAATCACTAGCATCTGATGCTGCTACAATTTCTGCTTTTGGATCATAGTGTGCTAATGATAAATTAGACATAAGACTTTTTTATCATGTCGAACGTTTTTTGACATTTATGATCCCAATTCCACTTTACTCCTCTTTTCAGTAGATTGTTAAGTGGAGCTGCCAAATTATGTATATTATGTACATAAATTCAGTAATAATTAGCCAGTCCTAAAAGTGTTTGTAATGTAGTTACGTTTGTTGGTGTAGATTTATTTTTAATTGCATTTGCCTTTGATGGATCTGGTTTCTTACCATTTTTATCAATAATTAGACCCAGGTATTTTATTTTTGGCAAAAACAATTCACATTTTGTTGAAAAATAGCTGGTGCCACCTTTTATACCAAAAGGAAATCGATTAAACTTCTATAAGCCTCTGTGTATATTTATGGTCGTTAATTCAGAACATTGATTTTCAATCTGAATTTGTAAATATGCTTTAGAGAGATCCATCTTTGAAAATATTTTTCTACCATTCAACTTTGAAAAAAATTCTTCTGAACTTGGTAACGGGTAATTGTGTGTTTTAAGACAACTATTTAATCCAGTCGAGAAATTTGTGCAAAAACAAATTTAGTCATTTTTTTCTTTTTTTTTTTTTTTTTTACATTCACTGCTGGTGCATCTCATTTTGAATGGTTTACTTTCTGCAATACACCAATTCTTTTTAGTCTGTCCAACTCTCCTTTTACTTGTTCTAATGCTGTGAATGGTATACTATATTTTGGTTTACATACTGGTGTCGAACCTATTTTTTTTTTATTATTATTATTATTTGAAAATTTGCCTTGAATTTGAACACTGACCCAGTTCATTAGACAGAACATCATGGAAACATTTTTTTAATTCTCCCTTAAGATTTTCGCTCTTACTTTTTAAACTTGTCCCTAGTCCACTTACATTTTTACAATAAGTGTTTATTGGCAAATCCCACAGATCGAATATTTCCATCCAGTATGTACCGAATAGATTCATTGCATTTATTAGAACATAAGCTTCTTTCACCTGCTTATTTCTAAAATAAACATCACATGTTAAATCTCTCCCAAAAATAATTTCTCCCCAGAAACTGAACTTGCGACTTTGTAAGTCCTTTTTAGTAAAGGTTTTCCCATTTCATTCCATGTGATTTCATTTACTATTGAAATGTCACTACCAGTATCTAGTAACGTTTTTGTTCCCACATTATTGATTTGCACATTAACAAATTTTTTTTTGTTTTTTGTACCAATTTTTTCCATCACAATATTGTGTATTAATTTTTTCTTGCAAAAATTTTCTTAGTTCTGCAGTGTGATTTAATGTCCTTTTTTTTACCACAGTTATAGCATTCTGCCTTTTTCCATGGGCAGTCTTTCCCAAGATGTAATTTTCCACATCTGAAACAAGGTCTTACATTCCTTTTTCTGCATTTTTCCTTAGCTTTTACCAATGCACATTTTTTATTCTGAAGTTTTTCAGCATCATGCTTCAGACTTAGCATAGTTTGGCAATTGTCTACTATTTCCTGTAGTGTCACATTATTATTATATTCAATCTTTGCTAAAATTTTCATTTGTACTTCAGCATCTTTTTCCGCTGTTAGACCATGCACAAAAATGAATCCCTTGAACATATCCAGAGTCATTTCCTTTAGTTTAAATTGCTTACATTC